AGGATGACAAGGATTGGGTTCTAAATATTGTATATGACATACAAGATTAATAGGAAACTACGTAAAGGTGTAGGAGAAGCACTCTTAAATAAAGATGGCATTGGTGCAATAGCTAGAGATGCTATTGGTTTAGGAAACCAGGATATAAAATTGATTTTGATGGAGATGAGGAATAGCAAGGAAAATAAATCACTAGTGGGAGTGGTCTGCAGGCACCCTAATAGTAACCTTAATGTAGAATGAAGTATAGATGATGAAACATTTTGCTTTTGTGGTAAAGAGATGGCAATAGTCATGGGTGATTTTAATGTACATATAAACTGGAAAAATCAGATTGGCAATATTAGTCTTTATGAGAAGATCATGGAGTGTTTCAAGATAGTTTCTTTGAGTAACATATTATGGAACCAACCAGAGAACAGGTTATATTAAACTTTGTATTGTGTAATGTTAGATGATTAAGTTATGACCTCAAAGTAAAGGCAACTCTAGGTAGAGATATCAAGATATGATTATATTTAACATTCATTTTGAAAGGAAGATAATTGGGTCCAAGATTAGTGTTTTAAATTTAAATAAGGGCAACAATTACGGGCATAAAAGCTGAGCAAACTGGAGTGAACTAGGATTCTAGGGTTGGAAATAGAACAAAAGAGAAGCAGTGACTGGCATCTAAGGACATATTTCAGAATAGTTAGAATAAGTACGTTCTTACTATGAAAAAGAATTCAAAGGGAAGGACCCAGCAAATAAGTTAGGTGTCATTTAAAGGAAAAGCATTTAATTGCACAATTATTACAAACAGGTCAGGTGACTGGTCAGAATATAAAGAATGGCACAGAATGTCTAAAAGATTAATCAGGAGAAAGAAATTGCAATGAGAGGAAGCTGACAAATAGTTGACACAATTTCCCATGCACAAAGCCGTGTAGACTGTCTCTAATCAGTCAGTAGGAGCAAATTACTGCAGATGCTGGAATCTGAAATGAAAACAACAAATGCTGGAGATCACAGCGGGTCAGGCAGCATCCATGGAGAGAGAGAACAGCTAACATTTCAAGTCTCACCCTGGGTGCTGCCTGACCCACTGTGATCTCCAGCGTTTGTTGTCTTCATCCCTAACCAGTCCCTGCCTTTCCAAATACATGTATATCCTGTCCCTCAGGATTCCCCCCGACAACTTGCCCAACACTGATGTCAGGCTCACTGGTCTATAGATCCATGGCTTTTCTTTACCACTTTTCTTAAATAGTGGCACAATATTAGCCAACCTCCAGTCTTCTGGTGCCTCACCTGTAGCCATCGATGATACAAATAAATCAGCAAGGGACTCAGCAATCACTTCCCTAGCTTCCCACAAAATTCTAGGGTACACTGATCAGGTCGCAGGGATTTATCCATCTTTATGCATTTTAAGACGTTCAGCACCTCCACTTCTGTAATGTGGATATTTTTCAAGATGATGTTGTTTATTTCCCCAAGTTCTGTATCTTCCATATCCTTCTCCACAGTAAACACTGGTGCAAAATGCTCACTTAGTATCTCCCCCATCTCCTGCGGTTCCACACGTAGGCGGCCTTGCTGATCTTTAAGGTGCCCTATTCTCACCCTAGTTACCCTTTTGTCCTTAATGTATTTTTAGAATCCCTTTGCATTCTCCCATTTGGATTAATTCCCGTATCATTGCACAATATTAAATTCAAATACAAAATCCTTAAAAAAAGCAGACTATTAACTAACTGAATATTAGCTGCCAAATTCCAAGGTGCAGAGAACCAAGTGCATTGTTTTTAGTTTTGTTAAATGCTTCTTATGAATTCATTAGATAAGTTCATTGCTAACTGAGCCAGCATGTATTGCCCATTCCTAACTGCCCGTTGAGTGGCTTGCCAGGGAAATTTAAGAGGGCAGTTAAGAGTCCCTTTGTGTTGCAGTTTTCTGCAATTTTTCTCCATTTAAATAATAATTTGTTCTCCTTTCCAAAAAGAACAACTTTGCATTTTCCCACATTATACTCCATTTGCCAATGTTTTACCCATTTATTTAACCTATCAATATCTCTCTGTAAACTGTTCATATTCCTCTCACAACCTGCCTTTCCACCTATTTGTGTGTCATCCAGAAATTTGGCTACAGTACATTCACTTCCTTTCTCCAAGTCATTCACATATATTGCAAATAATTGGTGTCCCAACACTGATCCCTACGGAACCCCACTGGTCACAAGTCACCAATCTGAAAAAGAACACCTTATTCCTATTCTGTTTCCTGCCCTTGAGTCAATTCTCTGTCCATGGAAATATACTATCTCCAAAATCATGGGCTAATATCTTATGACTTAACTTTCATGAGGTACCTTGTTGAACACTGTCTAGGGTGGCAGAGTGGTTATCATTGTTGCCTCACAGTGCCAGGGACTGGGATTTGATTCCAGCCTTGGAAGCTCATGTGTGTGGAGTTTGCATGTTCACTCTTCTAGGTGCTCCGGCTTCGTCGCACAGTCCAAAGCTGTGCGGGATAGGTGGATTGGCCATGATTTTAAAAAAAATGCCTTGTAATTTCCAAGGATGTGCAAGCTTGATGGGTTAGCCATGGTAAAAACCCCAAGCAGGGTGATGGGATGGGTTTGGTGGGATGCTCTTTGGAGACATTCCATGATTTTAAGTCTAAATACAACACATCTACTGGTTCCCCACTTTCCACTCTGGTTAAGACTTCTTTGAAAAACTATAATAAATTAGTCAGACACAATTTCCCTTCAGTGAAGCCATGCTTGATTAGATTAGGATTTCCCAAATGTTCTACCAATACTTACTAATTGATTCCAATACTTTTCCAACAATACATGTTAGGCCAATTGGCCGATAGTTTCCCACTTTTTGCCTCCCTCCCTTTTTGAATAGGGGTGTCACAATAGCATGTTTCCAATCGTCTGGTACTTCTCCAGAATACACCTTGAAAACTGCATGTGCGTTTGGTCTCCATTTTTAAGGAAGGATGTAAATGCATAGGAGATAGTTCAGAAGATGCCTAACTAGACTGATACCAGGCATGAGCTGGTTATCTTATGAGGAAAGTTTGGACAAGTTCAGTTTGTTTTCATTGGAGTTTGGAAGAGTAAGGGCTGACTAGATTAGAATGTATAAGATCCTGAACAGGCTTGACATGGTAAGGGTGAAAAGGATGTTTCCTGTTGTGGATGAGTTCAGTATTAGGGGAACACAAACAGAAATTGTTGGTGAAACTCAGCAAGTCTGGCAGCCTCTGTGGTAATAAAACAAGAGTTAGCATTTCGAGTCCAGTGACTCTTTATTAGAACCAGACTCCAAATGTTAACTTTGCTTTATTGTCACAGCCAGACCTACTGAGTTTTGCCAACAATTTCTGATATTGTTTTTGATCTCTAGCATCTAGAATCCTTACAGTGTGGAAGAAGACCATTTGGCCCATCAAGCCCGCACCAGCCCTCCAAAGAACATTCCACCCAGCTATAACTCTCTAACCTATCTGTGCAACTCTGCATTTCCCATGATTAATCCACCAAGCCTGCACACCCCTGAACCCTATGGGCAATTTAATATAGCCAATCCACCTAACCATCTTTGGACTGTGGGAAGATACTGGAGCACCCGCAGGAAACTCAGAGACACAAGGAGAATGTGCAAACGCCACACAGTCGCCCGAGGGTTGATTCGAACCTGGGTCCCTGACACTGTGAGACAGCAATGCTAACCACTGATTGACTGTGCCTCCCAAAAATTGTTTCAGTTTTAAATGGAAACTGTATTAAAATTAGGGGTCATCCTTTTATGATAGAAATAAGTATGTTTTAATCTCGGAGGGTTGTGTAAGTTTAGTACTCTCTGCTTCAGAAGTTGATATAAGTGGAGTCAATGAATACTTTTAAGTTGGAACAATGTAGATTTTTGACAGACAATGGAATCAAAAGTTATCCTAGGTAAATGGGAATATGGAATTCAAAACAAACATGATCTTATTGTGTTGCAGAGCAGGTTAGAGAGGCTTGGTGGTCTAGTTCTGCTCTTAATTCTTAGATGGAACTGATCAATGTGAGAACAAGCTCAGTGAAGAGGGTAGTGACACAAAGGGACTGTTATAAGCTTATGGAAGAAGTTTAGAGACCTCGGATTGTCCTGATGAGGGATAGAGGTGTTGAATGATGTAGAAGAATCAGGACTGCAAGTGGGAAGAGACTGGGCAAAAGTAGGAGAAATAGAATAAAGTTCAGTGGGGAAGGGACAGCTGAAACGAAGATCAGTTTTCTCTCGCTTTATCTTGTTTGAGTTGATTGTGCCTTGTTTGTGAATAAATCCTAAACCAGTCCTTATCTGCTATCACAATCATATTGATATTAATGGAAACATTAATTTAAATATTGCATTGTCACATAATCAAAACAACTCAGCTGCTCCTCTTCATCAAGCATTTCTCAGCTCAATAAAGGCCGAAACAACAGTGGATGCTGGAAGTCAGAAACAAAAGCAGAAATTGCTGGAAATTTAACCCGAAACGTTAACTCTGATTTCTCTGCACTAATGGTATCAGACCTGCTGAGCTTTTCCAGCAATTTCTGTTTTTGCTTTTCAGCTTACGTCCCGATGAACTGGCTGTGTATCGTTTTCTTTCTTGCGTGTTCCCTTTTCAGACGTTATTAATTTCGTTTATCATACCTGCCAATTCGAAGGATTCAAAGCACACCATGATTTCCGCGCTCCGGCATTGACTCGGGTTTGAGCCTCTAGGTGGCGCTGAGTGCGCAGGCGGCCGGCGACTCGCGAACCCTCATTCCCCCCGCCATCTTTCCTCTCACTCGATGATCCTTAGCAGCAGCGCGGGATTCGAGCCGTTGAGAGCGTCCGTGCCCGAGCTGGAGAAATAGGTCAGGGGTCAGGGTGACGGTTGGAGAGGGTTTCCTCGCGCAGGGTCAAAGGTCAGGGTGACTGTTGGAGAGGGGATCTCGCGCTGGGTCAAAGGTCAGGGTGGTTTGTAGGGGCTGGGGGTGGCTTTGTGCATTTGGTCAGGTTTGATAGAAGAGGGCACCCGTAATGGCTGCAGAGTCATGGTGATAGGGGGTTGGCGGCTAGAGAATCCTTCCTGTGGCTCTGCACCTGAGGTAAACACCTTTTTTCCTACTTGCAGCGCCCCACCTTGGGGTTTTAAACACACACACAATGCCGGCTCAAAAAGAAGTTGCTAGCTGAACCAAACCAGAAAGGTACTTAGGAAACATTGAAAACATCATCTACTTTGTTGCTGGTTTGGACCAAGCCATTTCATGCCCCACAGCGGCGCAGGCTAAGCCAATGTGTTTGACTGTGGTTAATGGAGCTTTTGTTATAGAAAAGTTATGGTAGAAAAATACAGTGCAATTAATTAGTGCCAAATCAAAGCCATTTTTAATTCTGCTTTCTCTTTTACTTAGGTTCAGTAGAATGCAGCCTGCTGATGCGCTACACCTCAGCGAATGGCAGAAACATTATTTCAATATCACTTCCAATGATTGCACACCTGGACAGAGGGCTGATGCTTATCGTGGACAAATTTTACAGTTACATTATGCATGGGTAAACTCTGATATCACCTGGGACTGTGCTGCCAGCTCATTTAGGAGATGCACTGAAAAATATGCAGCCATTATTGACTCGGACAATGCAGAGATCGGCCTGAATAATTATGCTGACAGTGTTCTCGCTTTGTCAAGATGCCAAAAGAATGAAAGCAATCAGTGGCAGTCATCTTTGACTGAAAACAGTATTTTCAAATTAAAAAGTGTGCAGGAGATGTTTAAATCTGGCAAAATAGCTCGGGACTTGTTGGTATCCGCGTCCGATGCTTCAATAGTAGTCGGTAAAACCAATCATGTGGCCAATTTAGACTGTCATAAAATAGAAACTACATCACACAGTGATACAAAAGAATCAGTTCCTAAAACTAAAAGTTTAATTTTGTCCCCTGACGTACCTTCAAGAAATGTTAACGAAGACAATACTTCAGACAAGTACTCCACAGTTGGTGCCTTTACATGTACAAAAATGGTGCAAGATCTCTCAGCTGCTCAGCCAGTGGCTGATGGCGCTAGTGTCTTAAAGTCTATGGGTACATTTTCATCAGCAACTTCTAAAAACCTCCATGGTGACCCTTTATTTGGATCGAGCAAAGAGGCATATTGTACTGTACCTCAAATAGGAACTATATCTGGCCAGTGTATGCCTGTTAATAGCAATTTGGCCCTTGATGTGCCAGGTAGCACATCTAAGAGAAAGTCTTCCCAGATATCCAGAGATTGTGATTCGTATACCGACATGACATATGGCCATTTTCAAAACCGAAACTGGACTAATTATAAGCAAAAGAATTTCGATAATGTGACTAGAAATACGAGATCTGATGGTAGTTCTGCTGCTGATGAAGGTTTCATGACTAGTTTTAAAACCGCAAAGGAGCAACTACATGTAGTTCAACAGAAAAAGTTTGGAAATCCATCTCAATCTCAGCGACTACCAGTATCAACGTTGTATAATAGTTCAAAGAAGTCTTTGGGCACAGTCAGGTCACGTGGCTTATTTGGTAAATTTGTTTCTCCAGTATCAAAACAAGATAATGGAGATGAAAATAGTGGACTGTCTTCAGTGCCTCAAGAGAACAATTCTTCTGAAGCCTCCCTACCTGTGGATGAGCGTTTGAAGAACCTTGAGCCAAAAATGATTCAACTTATTATGAGTGAGATCATGGACCATGGCCCCCCAGTGAACTGGGATGATATAGCTGGGCTGGAGTTTGCTAAAACAACAATTAAGGAGATAGTGGTTTGGCCAATGCTGAGACCAGATATTTTTACTGGTCTCCGTGGTCCACCCAAAGGAATTCTTTTATTTGGCCCACCTGGAACAGGTAAAACTCTAATTGGTAAGTGCATCGCATGCCAGTCAGGGGCAACTTTCTTCAGCATCAGTGCTTCATCACTAACTTCCAAGTGGGTTGGAGAAGGTGAAAAAATGGTACGTGCGATGTTTGCTGTAGCACGCTGCCACCAGCCTGCAGTCATCTTCATTGATGAAATTGATTCTCTTTTGTCTCAAAGAGTTGACGGTGAACATGATTCTTCGAGAAGAATAAAAACGGAGTTCTTAGTGCAGTTAGATGGTGCGGCTACTTCAGCAGATGATCGTATTCTTGTGGTGGGAGCCACAAACCGACCCCAAGAAATAGATGAGGCAGCTCGTCGCCGCCTGGTCAAAAGACTGTACATCCCTTTGCCAGAAATATCTGCAAGGAGGCAAATAGTAATGAAGTTGATGTCTCATGAAAACTGTTCACTGAGTCCAGAGGAATTGGAGTTGATCATTGAACAATCTGAAGGATATTCAGGGGCTGACATGACTCAGCTTTGTCGTGAGGCAGCCTTGGGGCCAATCCGCAGCATTCAGATAGCAGACATTTCCACTATCACACCGGACCAAGTACGGCCTATTGCATTTATAGACTTTAAAAATGCATTGGTAAATGTGCGGCCAAGTGTGTCTCTGAAAGACCTTGAACTGTATGAGGAATGGAATAAAACATTTGGTTGTGGCAGATGACTATGGAAAATTTACATAGAAATTTAAGAGCACACAGGTTGACATCTTTCAGAATTTTATAAAGTTACTTTTGTGATGTTGGATGTTTATTCTCTGAAGCAAATATAGTAAAGATATCTTTTATGGCAATGCTTTCAGGAAAGTAATTATATTTAAATCAGTTTAAATTGCTTTGTTCTGTTTGACAGCACATTGTCATAATTCAGGCTGCAGAAACCTTCGCTACCTCTGTCAAACAATATCATATAAACTAGTCCCCTATTTATGTTTAATTTTGAACTTTATGACTGGGTTTACTAGTTGGTGATTTTTTTTGTTAAGTAATGGCGTCGATGTAATTGTTCATCTGCTACCTGCTGTTTTGTCTTTGTCTTCAATCTAACATTAATGAACAATGTACGCAAATCCATAATTTGCCATCCAGACAAAGGTGACTGATAACTTCTTGCTATTTTTTAGATTACAAAGCAGCTACATTTACAAAAATGGAGGAGGGTTTGAAATATATGCATGAGGCTGACCTTTTTAGCAGGGATAACACAAATGCCAATGAACAGTTGAGACCTTTTAAATTATTCCAAGGCTAAACAAAAACACTAGTCCCCGATGTCAAAAGAAGAGCATGTAATAAAACAGAAATAAGTGATAAAAACCGAATGAACTGCGGATGCTGTAAATCAGGAACAAAAATAGAAGTTACTGGACAAGCTCAGCAGGTTGGCAGCATCTCTGAAAAAAAAAATTGGTGTTAATGTTTTGGGACTAGTGACCCTTCCTCAGAACTGATGTAGCTGGGAAAACATTGGTTTATATGCAGAAAATAGGGAGGGGTGTCGGGTTGGGAGTAAATGATAGATAAAGGATAGAGCCCAAAGAGAGAGAGAGAGAGAGAGAAGAGCAGTTGGATAGACAAAGGAGTTAATAACAACCTGGCTAGGAGAGTGAAGAGCTGTTAATAGGGACTGTTAGTGACTAACAATAGGTAGTGTGTTATGGCAGGCTATGTGATAACAAGGCCTGGTGAGTGGGGTAGGGGTCTAGGACACGGGAGAGTTTAGGCCCTAAAATTATTGAACTTGATATTGAGTCCGGAGGGCTGCAGGGTCCTCTTTACTATGGATGTGAAGTCACTTTACATGTCCATTCCCCACCAGGAGGGTCTTGGGGCTCTCCACTTCTTCCTGAAGCAAAGACCTGAACCGTGCCCACCCACCACCACCCTACTCTGCTTGGCTGAGCTTGTCCTCACCCTCAACAACTTCTCTTTTAACTCCCCTCATTTTCTTTGGGTCAGAGGAGTGGTCATGGGTACCTGCATGGCCCCTGGTTATGCCTATCTCTTCATGGGGTATGTGGAACATTCCTTGTTCCAGTCCTAATTCGGCCCCCACCCACAACTCTTTCTCTGATATATCGATGATATCGTCTGTGCTGCTTCCCTCTCTTGTCAGGAGTTGGAAAAGTTCATCAATTTCGCTTCCAATTTCCACCCTGCTCTCACTTTCACCTGGTCTATCTCTGATTCCTCCCTTCCCTTCCTCGACATCTCTGTTTCCGTTTCTGGGGATAGACTGGCCACTAATATACATTATAAACCTACTGACTTCCACCGCTACCTGGACTATGCATCCTCACACCCTGCTTCCTGTAAAGACTCCATCCCATTCTCTCAGTTCCTCTGTCTCCATCGCATATGTTTAGATGAGGCCAACTCGACAAGGGAGCTTCCAAAATGTCCACCTTCTTCCTCAATCAAGGATTCCCCAGCTCCATTGTCGACAGGGCGCTCAACCAGGTCCAACCCACCTCCCGCACTTCTGTCCTCACTCCATATCTTCCCTCCTGCAACAATGAAAGGGTTCCCCTTGTCCTTACCTATCATCCGACCACCATCCACATCCAGAAGATCATCAGACGCTGTTTCTGCCACCTCCAGCGAGATGCCTCCACCAAACACCCTCCCCTCTCTTGTGTGCCTTCTGCAGGGACTGTTCCCTCCAGGTCACCTTGGTCCACTCTTCCTTCACTCCCAACATTCCCCTCACAGCCCCATGGCACCTTCCTCTGCAACTGGTGAAGGTGCAACACCTGCCTATTTACCTCCTCTCTCCCCAGTATCCAAGGGCCCAAACATACCTTCCGGGTGAAGCAACACTTCACCTGCACTTCCCAGAATCTAGTCTACTACATTCGCTGCTCACAATATATCCTCTACATTGGGGAAATGAAGCGTAGACTTGTTGACTGCATTGCAGAACATCTATGTTCTGATTGCAAAGAAGACCCTGAGTTCTAGTTTACTGCCACTTTAACACACCACCCTGTTCCCTGGCCAACATCTCTGTCTCAGGCTTGCTACAGTGCTGCAGCAAAGCTCAGCGCAAGTTGGAAGAACAACAGCTCATTTTCCGCATGGGGACCCTGCAGCCCTCTGGACTCAATATTGAGTTCAATAATTTTAGGGCCTAAACTCTCCCATGTCCTAGCCCCCTACCCCACACACCAGGCCTGGTTATCACATAGCCTGCCATTACACACTACCTATTGTTAGTCACTAACAGTCCCTATTAACAGATATTCACTCCTAGCCAGGTTGTTATCAACTCCTTTGTCTATCCAACTGCTCTTCTCTCTCTTCAGGCTCTACCTTTTATCCTATCATTTACTCTGTTTCCCCATCCCCCTCCCTATTTTCTGCATATAAGCTGACGTTTTCCCAGCTACCACCAGTTCTGAGGAAGGATCAGTGGACTCGAAATGTTAACTCTGATTTTTTTCTTCAAAAATATTCGAAATGCTGGTGATGTGCAAGAAGTAATAGGACTTGAACCAAAATGCTTTATGGATTAAATGAAAAGAAATGCTGCAAGAACAGGGATAGATACTGCATGCTCTTAAGTTTCCCTTGTGTCATCCAAAGCTCGCATTAAAGCAGCGGGAAGATCAGTTGGAAGAAGATTTTGGATAATTATTACTGACAGCTTTATGAACTATGTTGGTTATAAAAAGACAATGAGAAGACAGGGCTATAAAAGGGGTGGATTCCCAAGAAAAGGCAGTGATTTTAAGTGGTTACTTTGCACCAGCCTATATTATAGTGGCTGATGCTTGGCTGCCATTGACATAATATGCTGTTAGCACTAAACACAATAAAAGTAGATACATTATGGGATAGAATAAGAGATTTGATCTGATAGTATGAGTAGGTCTTTCAGCATTCCTTACTGTGTTAGCAGAGAATTAAGGTATTAGAGAAGAGATATTGGATTCAATGGTAACTGTTTCTTTCTCCATAGATGTTTCCAGACCTGCTGACTTTCTCCAGCACTTCATTTCAGACTTTTAGCATCTGCAATATTTTGCTTTTACTAGAGTATTGAGGTGATTTGAAACAAAAACAGAAGTTGCTGGAAAATCTCAGCAAGCCTGGCAGCATTTCTGGAGAGAAATAATAGTTAACATTTCAGGGCCAGTGACCCTCCTTAATAGCTGTTCCAACAGCCACACCATCCTTTGCGCCAGGTATAACTAACCAGTGGAGACTTTTCTGCCTGATTCTCATTAACTTCAGCTCTGCTAGGGCCCCATGATGCCACACGCAGTCAAATAGGTCCTTAATGTCAAGAGCAGTCAGTCTCACTTCACCTCTGGAATTCAGTTCTTTCATCCATGTTTAAACCAAGGCTGTAATCAGGTCAGCAGCTGAGTGACCCTAGTAGAACCCAAACTGGTTATCCACGAATAGGGGTGTATTGTTGAGCATGTGATAATTGATAACACTGATCACACCTTCCGTCACTTTATTGATGATCAAGAGTAGACTGATGGGGCAGTTACTGGCCTGATTGGTTTTATCCTGCTTTTTGTGTACAGGACATACCTGGGCAATTTTCTACATTGTTGGATAGATGTCAGTGTTTTATAGCTGCACTGGAACAGCTCGACTAGGGGTGTGGAAAGTTCTGGAACACAAGCCTTCAGTACTATTGTTGAAATATTGTCAGGGACCATTGTCTTTGCAGTATCTATTGCCTTCAACTGTTTTTTGATGTCACATGGAATGAATAGAATTGGCTGAAGGCCAACAACTGAGATGCTGGGCACCTCTGGAGGAGGCTGAGTTAGATCATCCACTTGGCACTTCTGGTTGTAGATTGTTGCAAATGTTTCAGCCTTATCTTTTGCACTGAACCCCCATTATTGAGGATGGGGATATTTGTGCAACCTTCTCCTCTTGTAAATTCTTTAATTGTCCACCACTATTCACAATCGGATGTGGTAAGACTGCAGAAGTAAGATCTGATCTGTTGGTTGTGGAATTGCTTAGCTCTGTTGATTACGAATGCTGTTGCCCTGCAAATGGTTTAGTTGTGTAGCTTCATCAGGTTGGCACCTCACTTTTAGGTATACCTTAGTGTGCTCTTGACGTGCTCCCCTGCAAACGTCATCGAACCAGGGTCGACCCCTTTAGTTGACGGTAATTTGGTAATGATAAAATGGGAGATATGCCAGGCCATGAGCTTGAAGACTCTTGAAATATGATTTTGCTGCTGCTGATAGTCCATGACACTTTATGGTTGCCCAGTCTCGAGTTTCTGGATCTGTTTGAATTCTGTCACTTTTAGACACGACATAATGTAAGGTATTCTCAATGTGGAAGTGGGACTTTGTCTCCACAAAGACTGTGTGGTAGTCTTTCTTACAGCAAACTGGTGAGGATGAGGTCAAGTATGTTTTTCCCTCTTGTTGGTTCCTTCAACATCTTCCGCAGCCACAGTCTAGCAGCTAGTCCTGTATGACCTGACCAGCTCCATCAATAGTGGTACTGCTGAGTCACTCCTGGTGGTGGACATTGAAGTCCCCCACCTGGAATCCATTCTGTGCCCTTGCCATCCTTGATGCTTCCTCCAAGTGGTGTTCAATATGGACGAATGCTGATTCATCAACCAAGAGTGGGTGGTACATGATAATTAGCAGGAGGTTTTATTGCCCTTGTTTGACATGATGCCATGAGACTTCAGAGGCTCAATGTTGAGGACTCCCTAGGCAATTCCTTCCCAACTGTATACCACTGTGCTGCCATCTCTCCTAGGTATGGCCTGTCCAAGTTATGTCCAGGTCTATTGCCAGTAGGACAGGATAAATGTAGTGATGGTGTCTGGGACTTTGAAAGATATGATTCCACGAGTGTGACTATGTCAACCTCTTGCCCAGCTAGTCTCCAAGACAGCTTTCCCAATTTTGGCATTATCCCCCCAGATGTTAGCGCAGAAGACTTTGCAGCGTCAAAACAGCTTTATTTGCCGATGTTTTTTCTAGTGCCCAGTGGTCCATTTGGTTTCATTCCTTTTTTGAAACTTTTTAGCAGTTGATAAATTGAGATGAACTTAATATGTTCTGTAAAACTTGTGAAATCGTTATTGTA